TTTCCTGTTCCTTAATTGTTTGAAACCTGGACGTTTTACTTCATATTATGAGGCATGTCTTACCTTACTTCGAAGTAGCCTATAGCCAAAATCCCACCATAGAAACGTGGAGACAATCATTTTATAAAGACTTCCTCATAGGTGTTCTCCTGTTCTATTGGTTTTCGTTCAACTTTTTTTCATTGTCTAGCAGCCAACGGAATTATCCTAGTCATATTAGCAATCCATGATAGTTGTTGCATCTTTAGATCTTCCCTCTTCCTACATTTCTAACTGATATGTCCATCTCTGTCCATGAAACCGTGCATTTTAGAACAGTGTTTTCTGGCAAATAGATTTTTGAAATATTTGAGTGTAGGCCTACCGCCGTGTGCACAAAATGTGAAGAAATAATAGTTTAGCAACATTTTAAGCTAAACATTCTGATCTGTTCCATCAGCTTTATTAATCGATACGGCGTATACATCCACTAACTACACTACTAAGCAGTGAGTTTTGTGTCATTCTGATCCCAGGAAGTACCCAGAGGACGCCATTTTGAAGAGGAAGTACACGTTAGGCCCTGTGGTCTCTGCTGTGGCCCAGCTTGATGCTGGGCGGAGCTCTACCACAGATAGAACAATGAGCCAGATATTTCACTGGATATAAAAATGTGAAGCATCCGGTTGGCGTTTCCACTCACTACCAAATATGGTGATGAGAGGAAGCCCAGTGGCCCGCAGTTGGAGAATATGGAGCAAGATGGATTTTGGCAGACATTCTGCTAATTGTCTCATCAATGAAACATTTGATCTCAATACAGTTTTCTGGACTACAGAGTGGACTACGTTTTGTAGAATTTACCCTTTGCCAAAGTTTCTAAAAAGTGTGTTCTTTAGAAGGAGTGCAAGGGAGAATTGAGCTATTGCACACGCGCACTTCACAGAGTAGGCGTTCCCTAACAGAAATTTGCAAATACATGCTAGAATGCGCCAATAGGATCTCACTATAATAATAATAATAATAATATAATATGCCATTTAGCAGACGCTTTTATCCAAAGTGACTTACAGTCATGCGTGCATAAATTTTTTTTTTGTCTATGGGTGGTCCCGGGGATCGAACCCACTACCTTAGCGTTACAAGCGCCGTGCTCTACCAGCTGAGCTACAGAGGACCCACTATGATTAATTTGCTCCCATTGGAAATAGGCTGTGGTCTATCTTAGGTTAGGTTGGCTCTACTGGTGGCCCGGTGAAGCTCAACCAGAGACGGGTAGTGAGGCAGCAGAGGGTAGGCTGACAATGACGAAAAAACACCCAGGGCAAACTCTACCAGCTCCCAAGGTGGTCTGGCTCTGGACAGCACTCTCCTATGTAGGATGACTCAGTAAAGCTGACAGTGACATACTACAATGTGCATTGGAACATAGCCAGTGACAGGACATGGAGATGATATACTGTGTAGGTGATTCCCACTCTATGGAAGGAAGTCAGGAAGGAAGGCTGGTGGGAAATGGAAAAGAGGATGACTTTCTCCTGGAATGTTAGTTTCATGCACTAGGACAGTAGGAGCTCCTACTGGACATCTGAATTGGCTGACTTAAAGGGACATTTTTCCTGGTCTGGTTACTCATAGCAGGTACTCTCATCCATCAGACAGCTTCTCTTTGTCGATATATGGGGTAGCAGTTAGCCTGGGGACGAGGCTAGATCTTACAGACAATGTATCAAATTCTGAAACAATGTAAGATTGAGTTTATATATTTTCCTTTTTAATTATCATGAGATTATGATATAATGAGGCAAGAAATGGATCATTAGAACTGAAATTTATTGGTTCTCAAAATATCTGGATTTACAGAGAAAGGTTTTTTTTTTTTTTTTAGCAAACAGTACAATGAGTGAATGAATACAGGGTTCTATCCAGACATAGTACATTAATTAGTATGAAAGAGTAATGAGTGCATACTACAGGTCAAACAATATTTACAGGGATGAATAGATAACTTCTGAATATTGGGTTTGAAAACATGCAGGATAGCTTTTCATCGTTGTGCTTTTACACTGTACTCAGAGCCAGAGCAGCAGACCTCAATACATTCTCCTCCTTACCAAACTCTTGTCCTTCATCACTAGTTTCTCATATAATTGTAATAACTACAAGCTGTCTACTGGGGTGTAAAACGATGCATTATGCATAATTCCACTTTATTTTTTGTTTAGTGATTATATTTTGAGTTAGTCTACATTTAGAATAGAAAAATATATTACCTCTGTAGAGTTATTCAAAGAAAGCGATTTGCGCACACAGTTCATGGGGGCCAGACATTTTGCCCTGGCCCCAGGATAGCATTGGTTATCTTCATGGTGTGACATTATTGTACCTCACAAGTAACAAAAGGTCATTTAACATGAACTTCAAGTAAACAACACTAGGTTGAACAAAGGATATTCAGGGACCTCATGCATATGCAGTGAAAGAAAAGGATGACGTTTAACCACAGCGAAAATGAAATGAAGAAATGTTCTATGATAGCTCTTGCATTGTATGCAATATGGTTACTGTAGTTGTCTTGTTTTGAACGGGACCTGCCCAACCGTCTGTAACCTGTACAGAAACACACACATCAAGTCATTTGGTAAAGCTGGCCATACAACTGACTAATAAAGTATCTCTATGCACACTTTAAAAAAAGGGCAGTTGTCAGGGAAGGCAAAACCACAAATTCACCTGTTACACTTTTATTTTATTGATCTTTAACAACTTTACTGAATAGTGAGTTCATATGACAGAACGCTGGGGAAGTCTGGAATAGGGTCTAATCTATACATACTTGAATTCTGAAAAGAATAGGCTGAAGCAAATTCCAATTCACAGTTGAAAAACTATCTACGGTGGTTCCAAACGCTTCCTAAAAATGTCTGGTTAGATCTTTCACTGATAGTTTTCTGACCTGTTAGGGAAGAAATCGGTGATACCGTCAGTGCATAATTGTGCATTCGTCTTCTGTGTACTGTCTTGTCTGTACAGTTGCTGGACACCTTTAATGCTGTGTATGTGATTAGATACTCCCATCTCGACTCTCCTTTGCCTTGACATCAGTACAAGTCTTTGCAGTATAGTACATAAAGATCACAAATTGCATAGTGTAATAGCACAGCCTACTATAACACCGCACATCCATTTTGCCCCCTTTCCATTATAAAAAATATATATACACCCGAAAAAACAACAAAGGAAGAGGATGAATTCAATGAATTTACAGTAACAAGATGAATTTACAGTTATTTTTCTGTCGGTCATCGTAAACTTCTGTGTTGCATCCAACTGGGTGCTGGACGGCAGCCATTTTGCGGCAGAACGCTGCACACGCATCATAATACTGATAGACAAACAAACAAATACTGTAGAGATCAGTGCTACAAAGAAGATACACAAGGATTGGAATAGTAGTGACTCTTTCATACGCTAAGACTGATAAGTAAGATGTAGTGGGAGATATATCTATATAGTACTTTGGCTCAGAAGAAAATAAAGACTAAAAAGGAATAATGTGTGTACAGTTTGCATTCAACACCATTGGGATACTTCTGTACAAAATCTCAAAATTTGAGGTCACAAAACCGTTTCCATCTGAGGGGACACACAAGATTTGTGTAATCGTCATTTGAGATCAAACATGATTTGTCAGAGTGTTCTGTTCGCTAGTCTTAGAGTTGACAGCAGACGAACGGACATCCTAGTGTCTGTCAACCATCCATCACTGGGAATTAACAAAGCTGGTGGTATTCTGGGTCGTGTTCAATGGGCACCAAGAGGAAGAAAACATGATTGAAACAGGAAGAGACTGCCAGGATTTGTCCAATAAGAAACACTTATTTTAATTTCCGTGTCAAACCATTTTCCGTTGCGTGCCATGGGCAGGCCTTCACGGTATCCTGGCGTGTTAGCAGCACATGACCCTGGGCAGGCCTTCACGGTATCCTGGCGTGTTAGCAGGACATGACCCTGGGCAGGTCTTCATGGTATCCTGGCGTGTTAGCAGGACATGACCCTGGGCAGGTCTTCACGGTATCCTGGCGTGTTAGCAGGACATGACCCTGGGCAGGTCTTCACGGTATCCTGGCGTGTTAGCAGGACATGACCCTGGGCAGGTCTTCACGGTATCCTGGCGTGTTAGCAGCACATGACCCTGGGCAGGTCTTCACGGTATCCTGGCGTGTTAGCAGGACATGACCCTGGGCAGGTCTTCACGGTATCCTGGCGTGTTAGCAGGACATGACCCTGGGCAGGTCTTCACGGTATCCTGGCGTGTTAGCAGGATGTAGAGGCTAGAGATCCACTCTGTTGCTCTCTGTTCATAGTAAACTGATGAATAGGGGACATTATATAGGGATGACCCAGATCAATATTGGCTGACAATGCTATATATCGACCATCATATCGTTATCGGCTGATAATACTATAGATCGCTTTCATCTTAAAAATGACATAACTTTTAACAAAACGGTTGTTTGTAATCGTGGTTGTTCCCCTAATTTTACAAGGAGAAAACTGTGGCCAAATTGGAATACCAATATGGGAAACATAATGTCCAGAAAATATGATTATCGCATCAGCCTGTAATTTCCCTATCGATGCATCCCTAACATCCAGTTTGGCACCACGTAGTGGATGGTGTACAGATCTGCATCTCCCTCAGAGTTCAGAAGAAGTTAGCAGATGATGTAGCGATCCATTCTAGCCTCTCCATTCATCCGATTCATCCAATGGCTCTATCCGTTCATAGCTCCATCCGTGGACGCTAGTATTGTCCGCTCTGCCATCTCAGCTCATGGCGTGCTTAGCTGGCAGATGGTGTAGAGATCCGCTCTAGTCTCTCCGTTGACACACAGTCCAGATGGATGGTGTAGAGATCCGCTCTAGTCTCTCCGTTGACACACGGTCCGGGCGGATGGTGTAGAGATCCGCCCTTGTCGCCTCTGCATTGCTGCTACTCTCTGGGCAGATGGCCCCTCTCAGTTCATGGCGTGCTGGCGGATGGTGTGGAAGATCCAGTCCATCTTGGTGGTCCAGCCGCCATGGTGGGCGTCGTTCATCTGCTTCATGAAGTAGTCCAGGGCCTCCTGCTCCGTCTTGTCCAGGGCTAGGGTTTTGCGGATGTAAGCGATGTCATCAAAGGACTGCAGTTCGGGCATCCCCGAGCCCAGCATCATGGAGAACAGGTTGATGAAGAGGTTGGCGTGCTGCCGGATGGCCAGGTAGGCCTTGTAGCACATCTCCTGGAACCTGGTGGGAATGGAAAGACAATGGTGAGGGACGATTAGTCTGGGAAAAACGTTGAACCTAACTGGGTTAGGAAGCATGTATGTGTGTGTTAATAACTGTACTCTTCTTATGCTCTTACTGAAAATGGGTTGGAGTAATGATATCATTCTATAACACAATTTCATGTACAGATCCATTTAATGCAAATGTAGTCAAAAGGGGACCCCATCATACATTCAAACACTTGCCTTGCCCTTTAGGGTAGTGAATCTAACCCCTAATATTCACTTATTGGAAAGCTAACATAAACACAAAATAGTGAAACTGTACCTCTCAAACTCCCTGGTTTTGGTGCACTCCTGGGTTCCTTTACTGATGACGATTAAGAAGTCCTGTGTCAAGACAAAGGGCACCCGCTCTCGCTTGTAGCCAAACTTCTTCTTCTTGTGATCCAGGAAATGGCCAAAGTCTATGTGGAATAGCTGCAAGGAGCAAAGATAAAACCAAGAGCATCACAAAACACTGTTGATCTATAACCAAGGAACGTCAAGAGAAAAGAAGAGTGTGTAGGGTTGCAAACATCTGGTAACTTTCCCAAACTTTCCCGGTTTTTCCGAAATCCTGGTTGAATGATTCCCGGGTTTCCTGCTTATTCAAGGAATCTTCCAACTAGGATTTCTGGAATACCGGGGAAATTCGGGAAACTTACTGGAATTTTGCAACTTTAACACCTCAGCTCCACAATAAGCATTGCGTTGCTTTGCCATAAGCATCGTGTCAATGTGACGTTCTACCTGCTACATAGAGCATGTTGTTTTGAGAGCAGAGGAGCAGAGAGGAAGAGCATCTTTACACTGTTTTCCCCTACTGGACCGTATTCATCCATTATGTGTCAGTACAATAGCTTTGGTCCAGTTTTCCTCAAGTACTCATTACATTGTTGCTAGTGGTTGTACTAAATGATCCTGTAGTTACACAAGTTGCTTTTGTTTATATTCGGAACCTAGCTAGTCAATGTAGCTAGCTAGAGTTTCTGCTAGTAGCTTCTTGACGTCATAAATCTTAGTAGAAATAACCAGTGGTGTATAGTCGAGGCCATCTGCAACCAAGATTAACTTTTTTTATTTCTCATTATTTCAATTCACAAGATATAATGAACGCGTGCGTCAACAATTGAACCTCAGATTCTTGCGCTTGGATCCTGCCATTGGATGTGACGCACCGCGGGCAGTAAAGCAGCTTTCATTGATTTTAAAGGAAGCATTTCCTCAACGGATGACGGCTATAGCTTAGCAGGGCCGTTAGTCTGTGAAGTACCTGTCCATCATCTTTGACCATGATGTTGCTGTTGTGTCGGTCACCGATCCCCAGGATGAAGGTAGCGACGCAGTAGCCCGCACACGACCGTGTGAACAAGTCAATGGCCTGGTCGTACCTGGACACAGTTTAATGGGTTTTCCATGAGTCAATGTCATTTAACTGAAGAGGAAGTTCTAATAACCCTATGGCATTTAACTTAAGAGGAAGTTCTAATAACCCTATGGCATTTAACTGAAGAGGAAGTTCTAATAACCCTATGGCATTGAACAGAAGAGGAAGTTCAATTCCAGGAAACCCTTTGCCCTATGGAGAATAAACTTGATATGTTGTCCCCCCCATAAGCAACGTACTGTTCCAAATATTTCTAAGCAGAGAAACTATGAAATGTCTCACCAAATCTCTGTCCATTATAATAGCATAATTTAGAATGAATTAGGATTGTTTAGAATGAAGCAATGTAGAAGAATGAAGCTACGTAGGCCTACTGGGCATGCATTCTATGGAGTGTGCAAGTGTGGCTGTTGGAACCTAGCCCAGGCTTCACTCACATCTCCCCCCTGTTCTTGTCCTTGAGCCACTGGTGCAGCGTGTGGCTGTTGAACTGCAGCGCCCCCTTCAGGCCTCCTTTACACTGGATCTGCATGATGGTGTGGGAGTTCCTCACCACCTCTATCAGGCCCACGCAGTCGCCGATGGACAAGCAGCCGTACGGCAGCATCCTGAACGACAGAGGAAGCAATAGGATTTATTTAAATTGATTTAATCAGGAAATCCCATTTGAGACCAAGAAGCCCTGCACACAATCATACAAATTCACAATTCCAATGCAATAAAAACATACAATATTTACAAACAATTTAAGAAAAGTAACTTACAAAATACGATCATGAAAAAGATGGTCTCTAATACTACAGTCCAACACATTTATGCCTCCGTCTATCCATCCCTCCACCTATAGACACACACAGGCTTAAAACTCCTTCTTTAACCTGGCTCCTCCCCTTCATCTACACTGATTGAAGTGGATTTAACAGGTGACATCAATAAGGGATCATAGCTTTCACCTGGTCAGTCTGTGTCATGGAAAGAGCACTCAGTGTATATTTCCACACTATGAGGTTGGAATAATACTGTGGAATTGTGAAAATGTTAATGCCCTTTTGGTGTAAGAGCTGTTTGAAAAGACAGCCTGAAATGTTTGCCTGTTTTGGTGGGATGGAGTTTTGGCCTGCCTGTGATAAATGAGTTAATAGACCAGTAAGAAAGAGTTCCAAACATCTCTGCTAATCACAGCTAGTTTCCCGTTTTTTTTAAAACCCAGAAATGATTTGATGTTGAGATAAAAAGTGGCTGCATTGGACTTAATGATAAGCTACAGAGCTAAGAAATAGGCATCCTAATTTGAAGTCCTTCGTGAAAAAAATAAAAATAAAAATAAAAATCGCATCCCTGGTCCAGAGCTTAGAAAACAGAGCGATGCAGTAGCTAGCAATACGACTCCCTTCACTTCCTTCAGAAACAACCTGACTTTCAGTCCACCTACATGGACATTCTTCCTGCTCGTATCTCATTCAGGCTACACTGGTTTCCAGTTGAGAGTTTACATCTATCAGCTCCTACAGAGAGGTAATGAACTCAACAGTTCAATGAATTAGACAAGTCGCTCCTAATTTTAGGCTCCTGCTATTAAGGAGAAGAACACGAAGGGTGTAATCGACTATTCATGAGTGTTGCTGCTGAGATGAGCGGCTACAAAGAGACAGTACCTGAGATCAAGGCCCTGGTTCTGCCAGATGTTCTCCATTATCCTAATGATCTGCAAAGTCAGCATGTCCTGCCTCAGATCTGAAGGAGACAGGAGGAGTGAGAGTGAAATAGCAAGATGATGGTGAGCAATCCAAGCTTTGATCACACTTTAATGCAGCGTTTCCCAAACTCAGTCCTGGGGACCCCAAGGGGTGCACGTTTTTTCTTTCTTCCCCCTAACACTACACAGCTTATTCAAATGATCAAAGCTTGATGATTAGTTGATTATTTGAATCAGCGGTGTAGTGCTAGGGGAAAAAAACTAAAACATGCACCGAGTTTTGCATTATGAAATCGGTGCCAGAGCAATCCAAAGTGAGTTTGGGGACATGCATGTAAAATGGGATTCTGTAATCATGTTTATTGTCTAGTGAGTCAAAGGGGGTTGAGTGATTCGTTGTGCATTAGTGAGATGTACCGTCTCCGTTTTTGAAGATGATCTCGTTGCTCTGGAAGAGCAGCTCTGACATCATGTCAGGGTTCTCCCAATTGAGCCACAGGGGCCGCTTGGCCGATGACATCATCCGGCACTCTTCCAGGCTGAAACAGATATTAAACATTGTATCAACGCCGAGAATAACATTAAGAAAACATTTGACCTGTCATTAAACCTCAATTTCACAGGACATATTTCTTGGTTTCTTTGTTCAAACATTCCGGGAAATATGTGGACGTTTTGTGTTTCTGTCTACTGCGCTTTCTGGATTGAAAAAGTGTCTGTACCGGAGGTTTCCCAGCTGGTGCGCTGGGTTGAGTGGAGAGGTAAAACTCTGTAGGGCGTCCATGTAGTCAGGCCTCTTCATCTGCTCCACCAGGAACTTCATCTGAACCTGAGGAGAGAGACAGAGAGAGACAGAGAGAGAGATACAGAGAGAGACAGAGAGAGGCAGAGAGAGAGAGAGAGAGAGCTTCACTTTACTGCAAGGAGTCCATAGTCCTGAAGACCAATTGGGCCTGTTGGCTTGTATAGCAGTTCCACTCTGGTTTTGCTTAGTATCTCTAGTTTGTAGGATTGTGTGTTGTTCTTTTGTCTTGTATTGAGGGTAAGAAAAACGTGGTCATGTATTGAGGCTTCCATGTTAGGGCGTGAAGTGGAGTGGAAGGGCCTTGACCACAGCATAAACGTGACCTTCTGGGCCTCGTCCTTCTTCTCCTGCTTGAGGAGGTCGGTGAGGTTGATGAGTTTCTCCATGGCCTCCACCTGTCTGCTCAGATGCTTCAGGTACATGCCACAGGCCCGGCAGTAGGACTCCAGCAGCAGGCCGAACCGCTGGCTCACAGTCTTGTTGTGCATCTCAGACCTGGAGGCAGAGACAACAACTTATGTGATTGTTGAGATATTTAAGCAGACCTCTTCTACGATATGCGACTCCAAATATCGCGATATAATCGTTTTGCACCGCTAATAAGTAGATAGTAAAAATTACAATATTTTAGTCGCATTTTCATTCAATAATCTTAGTATGGCGAAATAAATAAGGCTTAGTTAATTCATTGACTTCATTTAACAGATAGATAAAGCCCAATTGATACAACTGCACAGTTTTGGATTTGTAAAGTTCAAATACAGTAGTCTTGACCTTCACGATATATCGTCAATGTCAAATATCACCATATGAGATTTAATAATATAATCGGCCCAACCTGATTGCGCAACCTCATACAAAATGTACAAGCAAGACTTCTCAAACTGCATGACCCATAAAAATGTATGCTTAACATTTCTTAATCTGGTGAATTGCCCTCGGTCAGCTTTTCTTTATGTAAACCCTGATATGCACAAATTAAGTATTTTACTGGACCTTGGAGAAAGATCAATTATACCAGCAGAATGGCATTCCAGCTGACTATGCCAAATTCAAGCCATCCACAATAAACACTTTGGAAACAAACAGAAAACAAACTCACTTGAGATGCCAAAAGAAGAAATGTCCTATTCGCTGATTGGTCAAAGCCTTCTTCAGCAGGAAGCGGGCCAGCGGGTTGTCGAGGTACTGTTCGTATTTCAGGACCTGGTAGCCAGATAAACGCAGGGCATGTTTACAACACACACCCACATACAGTGCATTCAGAAAGTATTCAGACCCCTTTACTTTTTCCACGTTGTTACGTTACAGCCTTATTCTAAAATTGATTAAATATTTGAGGAGGTGAATAGTCGATTACACCCTTCGTGTTCTTCTCCTTAATAGCAGGAGCCTAAAATTAGGAGCGACTTGTCCAATTCATTAAACTGTTGATTACTTCTCTGTAGGAGCTGATAGATGTAAACTCTTAACTGGAAACCAGTCTAGCCTGAATGAGATACGAGCAGGAAGAATGTCCATGTAGGTGATCAAATGGCCTGCCAGACTATTTAGATTCCTTCGACCTCATGGCTTGATTTTTGCTCTAATATGCACTGTCAACTATGGGACCTTATATAGACAGGTGTGTGCCTTTCCAAATCATGTCCAATCAATTAAATTTACCACAGGTGGACTCCAATCAAGTTGTAGAGACATCTGAAGGATGATCAATGGAAACAGGACGCAGCTGAGCTCAATTTCAAGTCTCATAGCAAAGGGTCTGAATACTTATGTAAATAAGGTATTTCTGTTTTTTATTTTTAATACATTAGCAAAAATGTCTAAAAACCTGTTTTTGTTTTGTCATTATGGGTTATTGTGTGTAGATTGATGAGGGGGTAAAAAAACAATTTAATCGATTTTTGAATAAGACTGTAACGTAACAAAATGTGGAAAAAGTCAAGGGGTCTGAATACTTTCCGAATGCACTGTAAAAGCAAAAGGGATTACTTTTCAAGAACACAGAAATAGATCAGACCGAATAGAAGCCACCATGTAAAAGAAAGCGGTTAGCCTGAGGTGGTCATATTGAATTCTGTCATTACGTAGTGTCAATTAATGATTTACACATTGTCAGATGGTGTCAAAACCCTTCATATCAAGATGGCAGTGGCATTCATGTTGAAACCCAGAAACGTCATAGAATAGTATGTGGTTTCTACGTATTCTATCTCTACGCAACACAGACTATGAGTGGGTCTTATTACTGTACCTGGACCAGCTGGATGAGGTAATGAGTCTGTCTAATAGGTATTTATTAATGTACCTGGACCAGCTGGATGAGGTAATGAGTCTGTCTAATAGGTATTTATTAATGTACCTGGACCAGCTGGATGAGGTAATGAGTCTGTCTAATAGGTATTTATTAATGTACCTGGACCAGCTGGATGAGGTATTGAGAGAGTCTGTCGTCTGTTAGGTATTTCTCAAGGCACTTCACGGCAAAGTCTCGAATCATTGGGTCGGGGAAGTTGCAGTCCAGCAACTCCATGGCTTGTTCTGGCTTTATGGCTGGCCAGTCCTTCAGAAGGCAATACATCTGGGACAAAGATGAACAAATACAAAAATGCATGTATTAAATAAAATGCAAAGTTAAAGGGGGGAAAAAAGGAAAACAAAATTGATATTTACTGACATGACAGTCTTCGAAATGGAACCAAATGGCCAAATGAGTCAAATCAATTAAATGAATATGCATCAAATAGCCCATGCTATGCTAGTGTCAGCAGTTGAAATGTGAGCCTGTTTACCTGTGCAACCTCATCTCTGGAGTTCCATTTCACTGCCAGGAGAATCTTGGGAAGTATCTCTGGGATAGTGACACAGTAATGTCTACAGGAGGAGAGAATAGTATATTAGAATGTAGAAAATGGCTTGTTTCCCCTCTTAACATCACACACACTGGGGCTGTTAGTAGAAGAGGTTGTTTAGCAGCTTGAGCAGGTAACCAAACCATTTCAGGTAAGAAATGTTTGATAGATCTTGCGAGGGTTTTGTTTATTATGTTTTTGATAACAAATATGCATTTGTTGATGACGCATACCCACTGTATGTACACACGCACACTACACGTTACCTGTGCCTCCACAGGAAGTCCTTCTCCTGCTCAGTGATTTCAGACAGTGGGTCTCTGTTACAGACCAGGCGCAGCTGTTCGTTGTCACTGTCCGTCAGGGGGTTGTCCCTCGCCAGTCTGTTACTCTGCAATAGAGACCAGAATGCTGCTTATTAAACTACAGTACTGGTGGGAAGCAGGGTCGCGTTCAATAAACGCTCCGTTGTACAAAGTTTTGCAACAGAAACCTAAAATCTGTCTTCTTATTGGACACATTCAGGTAGTACCCTCCCCGTTTCAAAACTTTTTTCTTTTTTTCCTGTTTTGTGCCCAATGAACATGCCTCAGGGAGAGACACTATGAATGAAATATGAAACCACAGGCGTCTCAGGTTGTGTGGTGACTGCTAGTGACGTCTCTAGTACACCCAACTTGTCAACAGCATTAAATCATAACAGATTAACAATGTCAATATTGACTTAGAAACACAAAACATTTAGGACTTACCAAACCGGTGTGGCAGTAGTTGAAACCCAGCTCCCGGGATATGTTCCAGTTGGCGTGCTCCTCGATGGCCGGCATGTCGGGGAACTTGACCGGGTTACTGAAGTGGTCAAACTCCAACTCCAGGCAAGGGGTTTCCTGTGGACCAAGAGGAATATAATGGAAATGTCATTAGGGGTCATTCAAAGGGCCTATTGAGGGGTTAGGTTGTAATTAACAAGAGGGATACAGAGGCTTCGACAGCTAGAGGGGAGAGGTGGATTACTGCCAGCCGCTCACGCTGGGTCTATGGATTTGGGGTCGTGTTGGTGTGTGTAAGTTTGTCTCTGTAGGTGTGTGTGTGTGTGTGTGTGTGTGTGTGTGTGTGTGTGTGTGTGTGTGTGTGTGTGTGTGTGTGTGTGTGTGTGTGTGTGTGGCTTATCGTTCGCCACTCTAGTTGTGTGTCTCTGAGAAAGTGTGTCTTTGCATCGGTCTCTGCGTCTTGTCTCGTCGCGTGTGTGTTGGCGTCTTTCGTTTGTGCATGCATGTGTAGCCAAGCTAGCTAACACCTCTGACCTTGTTTGGATTGGAGCCAGTGACTCCGATGGCATTGAGCAGGTCTTCCAGGCCATGGGGCACGGGCCACAGGTTGAGGGCCATCTTCCCGGCCACCAGCGTGTGGGTGTAGTCAAACAGGTTGATGTTTCCCCAGGCTAGCGGACAGTGCTCCTGTAGCAACATAAGATCAACGTTGGATTGTATTGTAGTCAAATGTATGGAGTTGTATTGTATTGTAGTCAAATGTATGGAGTTGGATTGTATTGTAGTCAAATGTATGGAGTTGGATTGGAATCGTGGTCAATGTAAATAGAGTTTAAAAAAAATTTTTTTTAAGGATATAGCATTCCAAGCAATGGAAGGATAAAATCGAAGGTTATGGTTGCACAAAGACAACAGCACACACCAGTAGGATTGGTCAAATCCAGGAAATGTACTGGTAATGTATTTTTTTCCGTATCCATCTGCAACAGGAGTCTCAAACTGGCGGCCCGAGGGCCACATCAAGCCCAAAAGCTGCTTCGCTCTGGCCCCCATGATAACATTAAGACCAACATTGGCCCCCCATGATAACAGTAAGATCAACATTGGCCCCCCATGATAACTGAAAGACCGACATTGGCCCCCATGTGGTCCTCTGTAGCTCAGCTGGTAGAGCACGGCGCTTGTAACGCTAAGGTAGTGGGTTCGATCCCCGGGACCACCCATACACAAAGAAAAATAAAAAATTATGCACGCATGACTGTAAGTCGCTTTGGATAAAAGCGTCTGCTAAATGGCATATTATATTATTATATATGATAACGTTAAGGCTGACATTGGCCCCCAGATATTTTGAGTTTGAGACCTGATTTAGACCTCTGATAGTTTGACCAAACCAAAAGTAACTTTTTTTCCTGTCAGAAATGAAGTTCCTGACACTGGTGGGCAGGAGGGAGAGCTCACCTCTTTAGCTCCCTTCCTCCCTTTCACAGAGCAGATGGACAGACAGAGGCGGGCGGCGCGGGGGATGTCTGGAATGTACATGTCATAGTTCAGCCACTCGTTCCACCTGGGATGGACAACAAGAACATTTTACCAATCAAACAAACATCCTTACGAAGCCAACAATAGGCTTCACTACAGTACAGGGCTCTACGCTGACCTTTTTACAAGGAGGACGTGTGCGCCTAAATTGAAAAATATAGGCACACACAAAGACATTTAGGAGCACAATACAAAATATATATATCAGGTAATAAAGGTAGAATCATACATTTTTCTAGGGGCACTGGTGCTCCTAAATAAAAAATGTCAGGTCGCAGAGCAAAATACTTGGGGCGCATATGCGAGTAAAATGGTCTCACTGTAGAGCCCTGCAGTATGTGATTTAGCAAGTACTTCATTAAGAAAGTAGAGTTTATTATGACGCTGGATGGCATACCTGGGGTTTGAGCATGGCACGCGCTGAGTGTTCACGTTGTCACACAGCTGCTCCCCACCGTGGTAGATCCCAGTCCGGACGTAGATCTAGATCAATAGCAGGGACACACATCAATAGCAGGGACACACATCAATCATTTACATAGATGCCTTTGATACAGAACATTTTATCGTGGTACTAAAAAAAAAACAATGACATCCAGGACATTTAGGTCCAAACCGGATCTATTCAAATATTCCATATAAAATGTAGTTCCCTTTCTCCACGAGGACCTGCACTGACATGTACAACAGAACTGACAACCGTGTCGTGTTCGGTGGGGATAAAACCTTTTGAAAAGAGGTACTGCCTGAACTTGTTTAATAAGAAGAACACAGGTTGGGCTGTTGTGGTGACCGTATTACCGCCACACTGGCAGTCATGAGTCATGACCTCAGTAAAATTCTATGTGACCGTTGAGTCACGTTAATCTCCTCTTATGCACTCTGGACATTCATTAGTAGTAGGCTACCCAACTACCATCAGGTCCTAATGGCCTGGTACTCAGGGCTCTATTGTCCCTCTAACCACTCTGACATCAATGCAAATGCAATAGAAAATCACATCAAACACATTTTAGTCATTTAGCAGACGCTCTTATCCAGAGCGACTTACAGTTAGTGAGTGCATAACTTTTTTCATACTGTGTTGCGTTGCAAGCGCCATGCTCTACCAACTGAGCTACACGGGACCACTTATCATCAAAACAGTATTTTCTTTTAAAACTCACCTCACTGTGATTTATCAATTCGAAGAAAGAAGTTCAACAACAGGTTGAAACTTAGTGGAAAACATGGTCGTTGTGGATGCTGTTTCAAAGCCTGACACAACGAAATGGACATCGCTTTCTAAGGTGATGATTAATTCAAAAAAAAAAAACATATGCATATTAGAGCTTATGCATACGCATAGGCCTATATATGAGCCCAAGCCCCCCCCAAAAATTGAACTAAAATAATGATTGTGCCGTTATAGAATGCATAGCCTACCGCATATTACACACGGAAGAAAAACATTTTAAAAAAATAATGATTTAAGATATCGTTGGTACATAATTGGTCTAGCCTAAATTAAACAAATTCAGATTTAGACTACAATTATAGTGAATTTGTTTTAGATTTTGAATAGCTTAGTAAGAAGGATTTGTTTATTTATTTTTATAATTAAATACGATGACAATACCTCTAGCTACAGAATATCTAACCACTGCGTTTCCGTCTCCTCCCCCCTCTCCTTCATTCCTTTCTCCAGCGCGCAGAGAGAGGGGCTGTCAACAGTTTAATTAAATATGTTTCGTTGTGAAAACATGTTACTATCGATGATCCCGAACAGCTTTCACTTGGTTTCCCAAACTAAGCACTGGCACTGGGTAGCTGCAGGAACAGGGTTGGAGAGCCCATGGCATACAGAGTTTGGGCAGAATATCACCTGTGGCACAGCGAAATAACCGGAGTAGCCTACCCAACATGAGTGAAAAACGTGCCGGTGGGAAAGTGGCCTCCATTCGCTATTCCAGTGCATATGGATTACATGGTTTTTTCCACCGCCCCTGTTCTTGCCCATTTGATAATGGGGCATTCTAAATGTAAACTAATTTTACATATTAGTAAAGATTAAATTGAATATAGTCTGATGGGTGAAATTATGATCACTTGAGAGAACAGCGTGTGCAGCCTGAGGCAAAGAACAGAGCGCAAACTTTTTTTTTGCACATTTCTCAAATCATCAATAGCCTATAGTTGCATCATACAGCCCATCTATGTTCTGATTTCTAAGGTTTATATAATTCACAACTAAAGTAGCCTAACAACTAAATCTAGCGTATAGGACCTGTTTCAAATAATCACTTTTAACCTCAACATACCCACTTCATACAGTGGGGGAAAAAAGTATTTAGTCAGCCACCAATTGTGCAAGTTCTCCCACTTAAAAAGATGAGAGAGGCCTGTAATTTTCATCATAGGTACACGTCAACTATGACAGACAAAATGAGAGAAAAAAAATCCAGAAAATCACATTGTAGGATTTTTAATGAATTTATTTGCAAATTATGCTGGAAAATAAGTATTTGGTCAATAACAAAAGTTTCTCAATACTTTGTTGGCAATGACACAGGTCAAACGTTTTCTGTAAGTCTTCACAAGGTTTTCACACACTGTTGCTGGTATTTTGGCCCATTCCTCCATGCAGATCTCCTCTAGAGCAGTGATGTTTTGGGGCTGTCGCTGGGCAACACGGACTTTCAACTCCCTCCAAAGAATTTCTATGGGGTTGAGATCTGGAGACTGGCTAGGCCACTCCAGGACCTTGAAATGCTTCTTACGAAGCCACTCCTTCGTTGCCCGGGCGGTGTGTTTGGGATCATTGTCATGCTGAAAGACCCAGCCACGTTTCATCTTCAATGCCCTTGCTGATGGAAGGAGGTTTTCACTCAAAATCTCACGATACATGGCCCCATTCATTCTTTCCTTTACACGGATCAGTCGTCCTGGTCCCTTTGCAGAAAAACAGCCCCAAAGCATGATGTTTCCACCCCCATGCTTCACAGTAGGTATGGTGTTCTTTGGATGCAACTCAGCATTCTTTGTCCTCCAAACACGACGAGTTGAGTTTTTCCCAAAAAGTTCTATTTTGGTTTCATCTGACCATATGACATTCTCCCAATCCTCTTCTGGATCATCCAAATGCACTCTAGCAAACTTCAGACGGGCCTGGACATGTACTGGCTTAAGCAGGGGGACACGTCTGGCACTGCAGGATGAGTCCCTGGCGGCGTAGTGTGTTACTGATGGTAGGCTTTGTTACTTTGGTCCCAGCTCTCTGCAGGTCATTCACTAGGTCCCCCCGTGTGGTTCTGGGATTTTTGCTCACCGTTCTTGTGATCATTTTGACCCCACGGGGTGAGATCTTGCGTGGAGCCCCAGATCGAGGGAGATTATCAGTGGTCTTGTATGTCTTCCATTTCCTAATAATTGCTCCCACAGTTGATTTCTTCAAACCAAGCTGCTTACCTATTGCAGATTCAGTCTTCCCAGCCTGGTGCAGGTCTACAATTTTGTTTCTGGTGTCCTTTGACAGCTCTTTGGTCTTGGCCATAGTGGAGTTTGGAGTGTGACTGTTTGAGGTTGTGGACAGGTGTCTTTTATACTGATAACAAGTTCAAACAGGTGCCATTAATACAGGTAACGAGTGGAGGACAGAGGAGCCTCTTAAAGAAGAAGTTACAGGACTGTGAGAGCCAGAAATCTTGCTTGTTTGTAGGTGACCAAATACTTATATTCCACCATAATTTGCAAATAAATTCATAAAAAATCCTACAATGTGATTTTCTGGAATTTTTTTCTCAATTTGTCTGTCATAGTTGACATGTACCTATGATGAAAATTCCAGGCCTCTCTCATCTTTTTAAGTGGGAGAACTTGTACAATTGGTGGCTGACCTTCTCCCCTACCTCACCTCGCTGATCAACTCATCCTTGACCGCTGGCCATGTCCCTTCCGTCTTCAAGAGAGCGAGAGTTGCACCCCTTCTCAAAAAACCAACACTCGATCCCACTGATGTCAACAACTACAGACCAGTATCCCTTCTTTCTTTTCTTTCCAAAACTATTGAGCGTGCCGTCTTTAGCCAACTCTCTTGCTATCTCTCTCAGAATGACCTTCTTGATCCAAACCAGTCAGGTTTCAGGACTGGTCATTCAACTGAGACTGCTCTTCTCTGTGTCACGGAGGCTCTCCGCACTGCTAAAGCTAACTCTCTCTCCTCTGCTCTTGTCCTTCTAGACCTGTCTGCTGCCTTTGATACAGTGAACCATCAGATCCTCCTCTCCACCCTCTCCGAGCTGGGCATCTCCGGCGCGGCTCACTCCTGGATTGCGTCCTACCTGACCGGTCGCTCCTACCAAGTGGCGTGGCGAGAAGCTCTCTCCGCACCACGTGCTCTCACCACTGGTGTCCCCCAGGGCTCAGTTCTAGGCCCTCTCCTTTTCTCCCTATACACCAAGTCACTTGCCTCTGTCATATCCTCACATGGCCTCTCCTATCATTGCTACGCTGACGATACACAACTAATCTTCTCCTTTCCCCCTTCTGATAACCAGGTGTCGAATCGCATCTCTGCATGTCTGGCCGACATATCAGCATGGATGACGGATCACCACCTCAAGCTGAACCCTGGCAAGACGGAGCTGCTCTTCCTCCCGGGGAAGGACTGCCCGTTCCATGATCTCGCCATCACGGTTGACAACTCCGTTGTGTCCTCCTCCCAGAGTGCGAAGAGCCTTGGCGTGACCCTGGACAACACCCTGTCGTTCTCCGCTAACATCAAGGCGGTGACCCGATCCTGCAGGTTCATGCTCTACAACATTCGGAGAGTACGACCCTGCCTTACACAGGAAGCGGCACAGGTCCTAATCCAGGCACTTGTCATCTCCCGTCTGGATTACTGCAACTCGCTGTTGGCTGGGCTCCCTGCCTGTGCCATTAAACCCCTACAACTCATCCAGAATGCCGCAGCCCGTCTGGTGTTCAATCTTCCCAAGTTCTCTCACGTCACCCCCCTCCTCCGCACACTCCACTGGCTTCCAGTTGAAGCTCGCATCCGTTACAAGACCATGGTGCTTGCCTATGGAGCAGTGAGGGGAACGGCACCTCCGTACCTTCAGGCTCTGATCAGTCCCTACACCCAAACGAGGGCATTGCGTTCATCCACCTCTGGCCTGCTGGCTTCCCTTCCTCTGCGGAAGCATAGTTCCCGCTCAGCCCAGTCAAAACTGTTCGCTGCTCTGGCACCCCAATGGTGGAACAAGCTCCCTCACGACGCCAGGACAGCGGAGTCACTCACCACCTTCCGGAGACATTTGAAACCCCACCTCTTTAAGGAACACCTGGGATAGGATAAAGTAATCCTTCTACCCCTCCCCCCCCCAAAAAAAAAAAAAAAGTATAATTGTAAAGTGGTTATCCCACTGGCTATAGGGGCACCAATTTGTAGTCGCTCTGGATAAGAGCGTCTGCTAAATGACGTAAATGTGCCCTTGAGCAAGGCACTTAACCCTAATTGCTCCTGTAAGTCGCTCTGGATAAGAGCGTCTGCTAAATGACTAAAATGTAAAATGTGACTAAATACTTTTTTTCCCCCACTGTATGTGCGCGCTCTCGCTCCAAAATGGGAAGAATATCTATTCTATTTTATTCAAGTTCAATTACATTCTTCTACCTACAAAATCATATAATATAAAATAATGGTACAGGACTTATAAGCATATCTTGTCTGCTAAATGAACAAGTCTACAGCCTATGGCATGGCGCATAGCCAGATAACATACAGTAGGCCAATTCATACTGTTTTTCTGAAATACATTTTCTTCATATCATAATGTTTCTTTAGACCTGCCTACTTTTTTTTTTTTTTTTTTTGCCTAAAATAAATAATGCATTTATTGTGATGGTGTTTATTCAATTGATTTATTAGACTTTTTTTAATGTAGATGTTCCAAAGGCGCGCATCAGAGGCTTGTATGCGTGGAGCCTGGAGATGCTAAACGTGGTGCCTGGAGATGCTAAACGTGTTTGTTAGTTAACGGTCAATTACCGTGAGACCCGCAGTCTTTTGCATGACAATAACCGGCTGACAAAATGTAATGACCGCCACAGCCCTAAACACAAGTATTCGTTATCGGTTGCAAAACATTTAGTTATGATATGCTCTACTGAACACAACCCAAAGTCCTCAAGTACAGTACCTTGTCAATGTCCCTGATGTTGACGTTGACATAGGTTGCGCACAGTATCCTGATCCTCAGCGTGCCGTTGATAGTCCACAGGGACTTGGTGGCCGTCTCGCCATTCATGTAGGGCGTTGCCGTGGAGATGCGTCGGGCGTACGAGGGCATGGTAAAGGTGTCGATAGGCAGCTGGGAGTAAAGGCTGTCCTTGGCCATTAGCATGAGGTTGGGCATGCGCCCTAGCATGATGCAACTCCTCACATACTGGGAAGGAAAGGAAATAGACATACAGACATTAGACACTACACCAGAGGTCATTAAACATGCAACGAATGGCTACCTTTGTTTTGTGCATCTACTATTACCTGTGTAACGTTGCTAGCTAGTCATTGGCCAGTCATTCTAAAACGCTTCAGACAGGATTCAAAGGAATAATGTCCTAACACAGTATTTTACATTTTAGTCATTTAGCAGACGCTCTTATCCAGAGCGACTTACAGTTAGTGAGTGCATATATATATATATATATCATTATTTTATTTTTTTCATACTGGCCCCCCGTGGGAATCGAACCCACAACCCTGGCGTTGCAAGCGCCATGCTCTACCAACTGAGCTACACCGTATGCTTGTAAAAGGTTAGTATTTTATTACACATTTTAGCCACCATTTCTGACTGTCGTCATAAAAAGCAGCATTTGGGATTTTTTATTTATTTCTTATCATATTTATATGTTATATTTAAACACACCGGCAAGAGACTGACTACATCACATGTGTAATTGTATTCCTATTCAAGATGTGTAGTAGGCGTCAGAGCAATATGTGTGTGAGTGTCTGTGCTTACCTTGTACTGGCTAAGGGGGTACTTCTCCAGCAGGTACTCGTCACAGCCGCACACCTTGAGGATGTACTTTCCCTGATACTCCTGCACACACATCTTGAGTTGCTCGTGGGACAGCAGCATGCTACGCGTCTTTTTACGGATGGCCTCTGCAATCACATGCTCCGGCACGCAGTCGTGATTGATCTTCAGGGTGTATTTCTGCTTGTCATTGCTCGGCGACACAATGACCCAGATGACCACTATGATTTGACCTGGGGAAGAAAAGATGAATAAACGTGTTATTACAGTAACATGGCAAGGTAAGCGAGGTAAATGTTCAAGTTCAAGTCTTCCACTATCCAATCAGAAACGTCACACCATGTCTGATTAAAATCGCCAAAATATTTCAAACAAGTGGATGGTGAGTCTGTGAAAGTTCACAATAGTGTCTGTTTATACAAAATTAGGCTGTACGTGGCTGGGACATTTTACCTTTCCCAGACTCAAACCTTCTGTGTGTGTCACTGTCTCCCATTTCCTACCTTTGTCAAGCTTATTGAAGATGTGCTTGGGCAGTTCTACTGACGACTCTACATTGGGAGGGTAGACGTACAACGCTCTACTGATGGGTCCGTTAGTGTCTCGGAGGTCCACAGACTCCTTGCAGACATTCAATATGTTCCTTCTAAAGTCCTGCACTTCCGAGTCCTTGACCAGGTCAAACTCGCATATAGGCATTCCTATTGCAAAACCTGCACCAAAAAAAGAGAATTTCATGCATTCCTATAGCTGCAAGATACATTTTATCAAGCTTCATCACACTCAGGATTAATTAATGAAATTTGAGTGCTAGATTTGAAAACAGCCAGATGCCACACCATACTCAAAGAAAGTGCCTATGTGATGTCCATGACCTAGTATAAAAAACAAGACAGACATACCAATTTCTCGGTTGAGTATTTTCTCCTCTCTGTTGCCCACTGGTTCGATGACTTTCAGGAAGGCCTGAAAAAGCCTGAGGTCGCACAGTCTCCTAGTCTCATCGTAGAACTCCTCTCTCTCAGCCTCTTGGGTAACGCTGACAAAGATGTAGGAGGTCTCCTCCTGTAGGAGGTGGTGGAGAGGATACTTCCTGGCCTCTTTAAAGAGTTCGTGTTTGACCGAGATGAGTGTGGCCTCGCGTGTGCACTCCAATGTCACAATCATCCCATTGGGGAGAAGGCAGTCCACCAGGATGCTCGGGGGCATCAAGTGCATGCCCCATAGTTCCCCCGAAGACGGTCTGGGAGGCATGGTGGTCGGCTCGGCTGCTCCTCACTATGCTAATAATTACGATGAGTCGGGTCGACCAACTGGACAGAGAGAGAGAGAGAGGGGGACAATTCCATAAGATGCAGTGACCCGTTTACAAATCTCCATTCTGCTAGCTGAATATATTGAATGAGAGTGGAAGTGCAAAAAAACCGAATAACGATCACATTATATCAGGCGGTTGCTTACAGAACATTATACAATTATGAACTCAATTGTTCATTGTCCCAAAAAATGCAAATGCGTGGAGGCAGCTCAAACTGGAAAAAAGTCAAAAATCCTCTAGGACAGATGTTGCTCAAAGAAAATACTTTACATAACAATAGGTAGTTTGGTAGCTAAATGGAGAGGTTGACAGCTCAGTCACTGTGTAATCATTAACTAGCTAATGAACAAGCTGTCACAACAAGCAATGGAACGATTAGACAGTAGCTAGCTAATGAAGTAACTAGCTAGCTAATGAAGTACAGTAGCTAGCTGGCTAATAAATAAGCTAGCTTGCTAATGAAGTAACTAGTTAGCTGCTTGCTAGCTGTTTAGCTAATTTTGCGACACATTCAATCTGCCAAATATGGGTGTATTAGGATGGCAAAAGTTCGACAACTAACCGACAATTGTTATTTTCCTTGATGTAATGTGTCTAGCTAGAATGACACGGTTAAACTTAGCTTAAACACTTACTTGCTAAAACACCGGTGCTACTACCTAGCTAGTTAGCTAATATTAGCTGACAAACCGCTAGCCATTAGCTAGCTAGTTGTTTGTGCCGACTTAGCTAGCGTGTGCCAGCTAGCCTAGCTAATTGTCCAATGGCAGTGACTCATTATGCAACTATGCTGTACTGTTGTTGTCTCGTTGAAAAGTATGTATTTCATTGATATGTCTTTTGACACCTTTATGATAAAATACCTGGCATCTGCAGACAAGCAATAATTTGGTTATTGTCTCGCGCAAGCAACGCCCTGTTTTCACCCATAACATGCAACTTTCTCCCGAGAATAGCTAGCTAACGTTAGCTAAACAAACCCCATTCGTACCCTTTCTAGACCTACTCAGTCGTAGCGCTTGCTTGCTACTCCATCCAAGTCTCGGGGCAGTCCGATATCTCTACAAAGACGTCGTTGGCTATAATATATAGTTTTCCCAAGGAATAAGTTCATTCCATTCCATGGTGTGATGTCCAGCCCAATAGCGAAAAACACTGCATTTTGATGGCTCACAAGCCGCCGGTCAGCTAGTGTACGTTTAGCCAAAGCTAGCTGCCTGGCTTCTCGTTAGTACCGCCCCATACACAGACGCCCGTAGCATCGGGCTTTGACCTCGAAGACATGATGCATAGAATGTTCTTTGTTGTTCTATTCAAACAATTTATGCCATTTCACCAACATCATTTTATACATTTCACATACTGTTTAAATGTGTAAGAAAAAAAACTGTAAGAAAACACACTCCTGAAACATAACTGTTCAATTCTGACAGCATTGCAACAAAATTCAAGCAAAAATGCATTAATGGTAGCCAACAGGAGTTGGTGGACTTCAACAAAACCCTGACCTACAGCCCACCAGAGCCATTAGGCTGTATTCTTCTATGAGGTTTAATGGCGGTTGGCATCCAATAAATGTCACATTACTGCCACCTACTAGACTGGAGTATACCTCCCTTATACTTTGCTTGAAAAGTAATCCTTCTACCCCCCTTGCTTGTAAAATATGTGCTGCGTTCCATTGCTGTCAGAAGGAAATGGAAGCGGGCAGTTGGCACAACTCAAAAGATACCAAGCAAACACGTGTGTCATAACAAGGGGGAGCAGTGAAACCAACAATATCAAAGATGTGATTAATGTAGCCATAAAATGTAGATTTCCATCCAAAGCCAGTCTTATGCAAAGCCAGGTGTGAAATTTGTCTCAAGCAAGGAAAGGCTTAAAGGCTCTGTTATGCCAAATGCCCTCAAAGGAAGGAATTTTTGAACAAGAATGTAGGGTTTATTACAGTTGCATCATTTATAAACAATTACTTGATTCACCATCAAATTATTTATTTCATTTTGATATTCCTCACCATGGGAAGGCATAAGTGCATGAATATGTTATGCTATGAGAGGTATATTTATTGCATACAGAGCAAAATGTATTAGAAAATAAACATAAAAAGTTTGCAGCTTTCCTCGGTTATCATCAGAGAGACAAAAGCCTTTTTTTGTTTTTTTTGTTTTGCATAGCACACAATTTCTGTATGACAGACCAAACAATAAAATGGTATTTACATTAAATAATATAAGCTATAGCTGATCCCAAAATATGCTGATGGTGTCATTCAGCATTTTCCCCATTAGATTCAGCATATTCTAGCTAGTTCGGGTATATCCACAATGGCCTTTAACCCTCTTCATTGTGAACATACAGGAACCGCACAAGGTTCTAACTTTGACACAGTAGGACGTGAACAGTTATCTTCAGCAAACACAGTGGACAATTTAGGAAAATGAACGCCCCATGTTCAAGGTCTGTGAATCATTTAATAAGCTAGCTAAATAACTTTCAAATAGCCTGTTCATTTATGTAAAAAGATTGCATATTCAGTAAGAAAACATGCAAGTTGCTTTCCAGGCAACAGAGGTCGTACATTAATTTAGCTGCTTTCCAAGATGTCCGTTTCTAAACATTCAGTTCACATTCAGTTTGCAACACTCACTGAGTGGAACGGAAGCCAGTCCAGCCACCTGTTCCAAATGTCTCAGCGCTGAGAGAGCAACATTACAAGAGGTCACAGTGTCATGCGGTTAATACAATCCCTTTCATGTCATCATCTGTCCGGACTGGCGGCCATGTTTGTCGCTCTCAGCTGCCACGCTAACAAGCTTCACCTTTCGATCTTGACTACCTGCTCGCACATAATGGAGAGGTACTGGGTGAGTTTGACCATGAAGATGATGGCAGTGCCCACCGTGAGCATGCAGGAGGGCCAGAAGAGCGAGTGGAAGACGGCACTGTGGCCGTACTGCCGGGTCAGAAGGGCACTCTCCTGCTGGTCGCTGGGGTCGTAGTAGCACAGGACCTGCTGGTGTGGCTTCAGGCGTTCTGAGATGTTCATGATAATGTGGTGCATGGCATCGGTGTCCTTCTGGCACTTTGGCACGTAGAAACACTGGAAATAGAAAAGAAAAGTGGGTGGGTGACGTTGATGTTAGTTCGGGGGCCTTCAGCGTGCATACCTAACCTACAGGCTTAGTAAGCATCCCTTGATACTCAACATAAATATTTATTTGTACAAATAAACATTTCTTCCTGTTGAGAGAAACAGGGACATAGCGCATGCATAGGGCAAGGAGTTTCCCAGACCACCTGAACAGGAAGAAGCAGTCCTGCTAGCTCACATGCTGACTAGACCGGGCGCGCATGTTGATTTTGTCCATCCACACCAGATGTGATCAGGACACGCAGGTTGAAATATCAAAATGAACTCTGAACCAACTATATTAATTTGGGGACAGGTCAAAACACATGAAACATTCATGGCCATTTAGCTAGCTAGCTAGCTTGCTGTTGCTAGCTAATTTGTTCTGGGATATAAACATTGGGTGGTTATTTTACCTGAAATGCACAAGGTACTTTTTTTTACAATCTTCTTTGTAAAATTTGTGTTCTCTACTCCGACAATTAATCCACAGATAAAAGGGGAAACCTAGTTAGTTTCTAGTAATCTCTCCTCCTTCAGTCTTCTTCGTCTTCTTCTTCTTCTTCTTCTGTGGACTTTATATGGCGGTTGGCAACCAACTTTAAGGTGCATTACCACCACCAACTGGACTGGAGTGTGGACCTCAGTTCATCTTTCAATCACCCACGCGGGTATATGCTCCTAAAAACCAATGAAGAGATGAGAGAGGCGGGACTTGCAGCGTGTCATGCGTCAAAAATAGAACCAAGTTCTATTTTAGCGCCTGGCTACGCAACGCTCGTTGACGCAGCGAGTATTCAGACCCCTCTAGCGACACATTTTCAAAAGCTCGACTAGCGACAAATCGAGTTACTTTTTCTGGTGTTATTGGAGACTTTTGGAGACTCTGACGTGAAAGCACGTATCGTTCTAACTCTTCTCAACGAGCAGCGGGTTCTGCCGTGGGCCCCACCCCCGTCCCAAAGCACTCACAGGCGGCCCAGTCCTCGCGCAGCAGTCCCTCCCAGCTGCAGTCAGAGCAGGAGACGTTCACCCCTCCGCGTCCAGACTGCAAATGAATCGCGGGAAGCTGCCGCTGGCTGATCCCGCCCTGGCTTACATTCAGGGCGGGATGTAAATGTAAAATGTTCTTTGTCTAAAATAAATCACTGCACAAAATAAATCACTGCATTTGACTCACACAGCCTCAGTCACTTGCTCACCTCGTCCACTGTGTGTGTGCCTCTCTGTGACATAAGCTAAACATCTAGCTGGCTAGCTCATCATGTCTCAGTCTAAACTGTTCACTCAAAAATACAGAAAGGAGTGGGAATCAAACCCTGAATTCAAAGGCTGGTTGAAGACGTTTATTGGAGATGATACACAGGCATACTGCCTGTAATGTAAGGCTGATTTCTATGCCAAACTTAGTAATGTAAAAAAACACATGACAACTCAAAAACATACTCAAAAGGCAAAGCCTTTTAACAGTTCCACCCAAAACAAGCTGCCATTTATGGTTAAAATAATTTTCTCTGCAAAAAAGGCTGAGGCCACCATGGCATTTGCTATCGCTGAACACTGTTCCATGCTGGCATGTGATCACATTGGAGAAGCACGTAGAGCTGCTTTCTCAGACTCCACTGCTGCTACCCACTTCAAAATGCACAGGACAAAGTGCACAGAAATGATTAATGGTGTTCTAGCACCATACTTTCTGAAAAAGTTGGTCGCAGATATGGGTGACCAGCGTTTCAGCCTCCTCCTCGATGAGTCCACGGATGTAAGTGTTTCTAAGTACCTGGGGGTTGTGATAAGGTACGTTAGTGACACCAAGCAGACAATTGTATCAACATTTCTGGGGCTTGTTGAGTTGGAGGGAGGAGATGCCAAATCTATAGCCCGTGCTGTTGTGGCTTTCCTCGAGAAGTGTTGTCTTAAAAAAGAGAAACTCCTGGGGACATGGACTGACAATGCCTCTGTTATGACGGGGATTAACAATGGGGTCCATAAAGTGCTGAAGGAGGAGTATGGCCTCAACGATCTGGTTCTTATTCGCTGTGTGTGCCACTCTCTGCAGCTTGCTGTAAGTCATGCTTCCAATGACACCATCCCCCGTAGTGTGGAGTACTTGGTACGAGAGACTTATAACAGTGTCTCCAAAGCGCAGGGAGGCCTACAAGGCCATATATGAGACCATCAACTGTGGGGAGAAACCTTTACAGATAACCAAGGTGTGTGCCACACGTTGGCTCTCCATTGAACCCGCAGTTTCACGCATTTTGGACCAGTGGGAGGAGCTTAGGCTGCATTTCGCAGTCACCAAGTCCAGTGAACACTGCTACATGGCTGAGGTTTTATACTCCATGTACAGTGATCCTCAAATCATATTGTATCTGACTTTTTTGAAGTCAGTGCTGGGTGAGGTACAGTTGGCCATCAAGGCTTTTGAAGGAGAGCAAGTAGATCCTCTTAAGCTACTTGACAGCTTGGTTAGCCTGATCAAGTCTGTGAGCAGCAGGGTGCTGAATCCACTGGCAAATGTTGATGTACTCAAAGGGCCAATAGATGGATACATCAGTTCCAAACCATACCTTGGTTACCTTTTTGAGTCAAAGGCAGCTGAGCTCCACCTTGCGCCTGAGGATGAAAACAATGTCCGAAAGTGGTGTGTAGCCTTCACCATCTCCCTCACTAATGAGTTGAGAGTGAGACTGCCGGACAACATCGAAGCATTGCAGTACATGTCAGTTTTCAATGTGGAGGAAACTCTAAAGCACAATAAGAGCCCTGGAGAAATAGAAAAAATAGCCAAGCTCCTTGGCTACTCCCCTGCAGAGATAGACAAGATTATCCAGCAATGGCGTGCCATCCATTTTAGTAAATGGAATGAGACTAAAAACACACTGGGCTTCTGGAGTGAGATTTGGAAGTTCAGGGATGCAGCTGATATCAACCCGTTTCAAGAACTTGCCATGGCTGCTGTGTCTGTGTTGTCCTTGCCACACTCGAATGCTGAAGTCGAGAGAGTATTCAGCCAGATGAGTGTGGTAAAAAGCAAACTTAGAATCGGATGTCCTTGCAGACCCTTAACTCCATCCTGTACATTCGATATGGACTGAAGCTGTCTGGTGAGGCTTGCTATGAGCACCAGCTGTCTGATAATGTTTTGCAGCTTTTTGGCACATCAGCTGCTTACTCATTTAAGTCAGCTCCCTCAGTTGCTGAACCTGCCATAGAGAGCCTTGACCAAAATGACGATGACCCACTCTTTCTGTGAGCCAGCACAGCCTGTGTGTGTGTGGAGGGGGGTCTGAAAAACAACAACAATTAACCTGAATTAGGGCCAGACTAGTTACCATCATTTTCTCACATTGCCATTGACAGTTTTTTTTATTGTCTCTTTTTGGTCCATTTAGATTGTTAATGTAGATTGTATACAAAAAAATGTTTTAAATGTTTTGGTTAAAAATGTGAATGTTTTACTGTGACTTGTTGTAGACTCTAAGTGGACCATAAGGTTAAAAACCAAACCAAACTTAAGAAAACGAAACATTTTTAATTTTTTGTATTACATTAAATAAAAAAATATAAAAAAACCAGCCAGAGTGTCTCTTTTGGGTTACTTTTGCCGGTCCCAAGTCCGGATAAAAGGAGGAGGGTTGGAATTGTGACATAAAAAAAAACAAGAATCGACAGAAGAAAGTTCATTTGTAGTTCTAAACATATTTAGGGTGTTGTTTACTCACTTTTTGTCTCTCCCACGACGTTATTCTTCTCTCCTCCAGCGTCCATCACAATTACATGCACATGGCCAATTATGCAAATTAGGTGCTGACATCATTTAGCGACTTCTAGCGACTTTTAGGACAGCCAATAGCTACTTTCCTTACTGAGGAGTTGGCAACACTGCGTTGACGCACGCAAGCAGTTTAGATGAAACGATTGAATAACAGGTATGTGTACATTTATTTTGCAACGCTCGCGCACGTATCAGTGAGCGGTGTGGTCAGCATGTCACAAGCCCTGTGTCAACATACGCCCTTCCAGTCTTTCAAAACCTCCATTCTGACCGTCCGTTCACCTCAAAGTTGGCGTCCCAACTCTCCTCGTTGTGGGATAAGCGGCTGAGCCTGCCCGTGGTGTTGACGCTGACGTAGACCTGCAGACAGGGGAACCTGGAGCCTCTCCAGCAGTCCGAGCCACAGCTGTAGGAACAGTTCACGTCTGCCGTGATGGTGGAGTTGAGCACAACACAGACACTCTCCTCTGTCCACACACTATATGGAGAGATGAGGGGAATAATTCAAGGCTATTGTAGGATTTACACAGTGGCATGTAAACATATATTTTCTCTGTATTCAAATAAAAATTGCAGAAAGATTTTGGGGTGTAAAAATACCAGGTAGACTCCCCTCGGAGGTAGATGCGTCATTTTCACATTTTCAATTTAGCATTTAAGCATTGCATTTTAGAATTGGCACTGATAACCCTCCATAATATTGTGGCATGTTGTGCAGTGACTTGCACACAGAAAATACTGAAAAACTAACATACCGCATGAACACTACAAAGGCAGATTGATTGAATTGCAGTCTTTCAGAATGAGCAAAAGCAGAGGGCACCCAAAAGCATAAAATACACCCAAAACAATCCACTGTCAGATTGATAGTCCAGTACCTGCCTGCGTAGGAGCGCAGTACAGTGATGCCCAGGACAAAGTACATCATGACTGACGCAATGACCATGCCCAGGCCCAGGAGAATAGCCCGGTCCTCCCCAGCCTTCATAGCCGTCACCGTCTTCTTCTTGTCCAGCAGGTCAACATCTCGGAATTTCTGGTAGATGGACCTGAGGTGGTGGTCAGGCCAATGTTGGGGTCAAGTCCATTTCAATTCATTTTACAAGGAGGATATTTTTGTTTTATTTGTTGAATCAGTTGACATTTTTCTCAATTTAAATCAGGAGAACCATTCTCTGTTTCCTTCTTGGAGGAACCTCCACTGCATGTCAGCATAAAATATATGAAAATGAATGATTAAAATAGAGTGGTTTTCAGAGTGACAGTGTACCTCGTCGCTCCTCCTCCCGATGCTGCCCCTCCCGCACTTTTGGCACCTGTCACAAAGAACATCTTCCCAGATGCCCCACGACCTCCTCTTCTTACAGAAGAAGCGGTGCGGAAAGACTGATGGAATGACCTGAACAAAATAACAATCCGTTATCACTCTAGACAATATACCTGTTTGTGCTCAGACAATCCCCAACAGTTCAACTTGCTGGACAGTTGGCAATGAGATATACTACTGCAGGGTTTCCCAAACAAAAAAAACATGCACCCCTTGCAGTCCTGAGGACCAAGTTTGGGAAACACTGTTAACTACGCTGTTAACTACCCATTAAATTGTGCCATTTCTACATATATTTTTTGTTGTTGTTGTTATTTTTGACTACTAGATAGTATAGATAGACAAATCAACAGTAGTTAGACATTTTGTTCAATAGCGATTTGTTAGATTAGATATCAAGGAATGAAATGGCATGAATCATACTCAATGACAGATTATCAATCATAACATTCATTAAGATTAATGATGGTAATTCCTAGTTTTTCTTCACCGTAAATCTTCTGTCAACCCGCTTATGACCCCTCTTGCCCACCTTTGTGTCATGGAAACAACACTGAACTAGAACACTATTGTTTGAAACATAGCTTTAATGTGTACCATCACAGACACATGGCAAAAGATTCTCTACTATTGTTTCAAGACAGTTTTGCAACCTACTCAAAGACAGAGATGGAGCAAAAGAAAGCCTACCTGTGTTGCATGATTTTGCTGTCAAATTCACTATGTGTGAAAGCCAAGTTGTTGATAAAATATTATTAGGTTTATACAATTCAAAAGTAACGACAAAGTATTTATTCTAAGACATCAACAAGTATGTAGTAGTGATCCACCATAACCAGGAAGGAGACTAAATGACTTGAATAGGACAGAAGTGTTCCTCTAATATAGTGGACGTTCAGGGGCAGCACCACCAGCTAAACAAACATCTCATTTTGCAACACAAAGAAACGTTAATAAGGTGAGACAGGATGATAGACGAGCATGGATAAAAGGTGTTAATGTCGATGAACTTGTCATGAAAGACGTACCTGCTGGAGCATGAACCATATGAATGCAACCGCTGTCAACACAAACTCATTGTGTCCTCTCATTTAACAACAACAACTAGCCATGGCTGTCACACTGAATCATGGTCACTGAACATTCTACCCAATAACACACAGCTTTCTGTCATTAAAAGTCCCATGCATATTCAAGTGAGCAGCAGCCAGGGCCATGTTCATTAGCAGTGGCGATTTTAGCATGTAAATCTTCGTGGGGCAAACTCCCCAAAATGTTTTGGGATGCATGCCAGCAAAGCCACTACACAACACAACACTAAACAATACATTAATTGCACTATAACAGTGACAAACGGTGCCCACAAACGGTTAGGGCCTACATAAATCTGTCCCAACAGCAGAGCTTTCTTTTCAGCACCATGGAGTGAATCCTTACCACTGCCACACCTGGGAAGCCTTGTCTGGCAGCCTCGTTTACTGCCTTTAAAAAAACATACACTACCGTTCAAAAGTTTGGGGAGACTTAGAAATGTCCTTGTTTTCGTAAGAAAAACTTTTTTTTTTGTCCATTAAAATAACATCAAATTGATCAGAAATACAGTGTAGACATTGTTAATGTTGTAAATGGCTGTTGTAGCTGGAAACTGCTGATTTTTAATGGAATATCTACATAGGCGTACCGAGGCCCATTATCAGCAACCATCAGTCCTGTGTTCCAATGGCACGTTGTGTTTGCTAATCCAACTTTATCATTTTAAAAGGCTAATTGATCATTAGAAAACCCAGTTGTGCACCGGGGCCTCCCACTCCTCTTTCTATTCTGGTTAGAGCCAGTTTGCACTGTTCTGTGAAGGGAGTAGTACACAGCGTTATACAAGATCTTCAGTTTCTTGGCAATTTCTCGCATGGAATAGCCTTCATTTCTCAGAACAAGAATAGACTGACAAGTTTCAGAAGAAAGTTCTTTGTTTCTGGCCATTTTGAGCCTGTAATCGAACCCACAATTGCTGATGCTCCAGGTACTCAACTAGTCTCAAGAAGGCCAGTTGTATTGCTTATTTAAATCAGCATGACAGTTTTCAGCTGTGCTAACATAATTGCAAAAGGGTTTCTAATGATCAATTAGCCTTTTAAAATGATAAACTTGGATTAGCAAACACAACGTGCCATTGGAACACAGGACTGATGGTTGCTGATAATGGGCCTCTGTATGCCTATGTAGATATTCCATAAAAAATCTGCCGTTTCCAGCTACAATAGCCATTTACAATATTAACAATGTCTACACTGTATTTCTGATCAATTTGATGTTATTTTAATGGACAAAATTGCTTTTCTTTCGAAAACAAGGACATTTCTAAGTGACTCCAAACCTTTGAACGGTAGTGTAGCTGATATGGCTGACTTGTTTAAACAAATGTGGTTTCTACTGACTGTTGAGATGTACAAACTATGGCATAAGGGGACGACGAGCGGATAAGAGGCAATCCGTAATTTCGATTAAGACATTAATGAGCAAGCTAGGACAGACTTAGTCAATATAACTATTTGTTCAGCACTTTTGAAATGTAAAGCGACAGAATTCAGAACATGGGCCGTTCTTACAGCATTCTCCCCGTACACCAAGTCAGAACCGTAGGATAAATAAAGGGGGCATATAAGCAGACAATGAAAGCTCTTACAATATTCAATGATTTCATTTCTCTAAAACAGGATATAGGCTACATGTGCACCACCAAGTCAGAACAGTAGGCTAAGTTATGAGGGGGAAAGGGACCAAATTATTAGTGTGCAGCACATGGGCTACTAACAGCTTACTACATTTTAGCAGACGCTCTCATCCAGAGAGACATACAGTTAGTGCATACATTATTTAATTTTTTCATACTGGCCCCCCGTGGGAATCGAACCCACAACCCTGGCATTGCAAACACCATGCTCTACCAACTCAGCTACATCCCTGCCGGCCATTCCCTCCCCTACCCTGGGCCAATTGTGCGCCGCCCCACGGGTCTCCCAGTCGCGGCCGGCTACGACAGAGCCTGGATTCGAACCAGGATCTCTAGTGGCAGAGCTAGCACTGCCTTAGACCACTGCGCCACTCGGGACATACTACACAACATACACTTAGTATTACTTTCTTAGCTACAGTATACATATCTCCCTGGCATATTACATCATTTATGCAGCAGCATACAATACATTTTTGGACTCAACTTGTTGTGCTCACTTGAACAGGAAGGTGGTGTGGCGGTCCTTGTAGGCTAATTTTGTCATCAAACTTTGTCATCAAAGTCTGGCATTCTCTGGATTTATGGTGCTTTCAAGACAACTGGGAACTCGGAGAAAAAAAACAAGGTTGAATCATAATGTCAGTGATCTTCAGGTCGGAGCTCTAGAAAGAGACCCGAGTTCCCGACTTGGATTTCCGTGTTGGATGACCGTTCAAATCGTATTTTCCCAGTCGGAACTCGTTTTTTTCAGAGTTCCCAGTTGTCTTGAACTCACTGAAGTCTGAGATTTCCCAGTTTCCAGTTGTTTTGAACGTGGCAGAAGTCATGCTGGATTGACAGCATGAATGTTTATCCTTTTAAGCTTGGAAAAGAGACCCTTAAACCCAGACTTGGACCACACACCCACTCCACTGAATAGCAGGCTAGTGATTGCTTTGCAATGCTTGCAGTTAGCCACTGATTCCTTCTAAACCACTCATTGTTGAATTTGCGATTTCCAACTTGTTGTGTAATGTTTATGTCCAATGGCCGATGAGCACCAATACATTTTATCTATAATTTCTCTTCATATGACAAGGATTGAAAAGGATTTGCCAGTAGATTGTCGACGTGATTCATGATGATGACTGCTTGTCTAGCTTGCTTGCTAAGATTTTGAAGGTATGATGTTGACATGATCAGTCCAATCAAAGCTACGGTAGATATAACGTGATTTGACGTCATTTTATCTGTGGCCAATGACCTTGAGCCTTCTTGGATGGGCACTTCTAATGTAACTCTATGGCAGCACCCAAGGGGCCTGATTTTACGAGCTCTCCCCGTAGATTTTGCGGTGACGTAGTGTCCTCATGAGTGACAGAACACTGAGACAATCACAGCGCAACTAGACAACATTACCAACCCCTACGCTATGTATTTTCCGTTGGCTGCCCCACCACCACAGAAAGCACTTAGCTAGGCTGAAACACCTGCGTTTTGGAGCTGCCTTATTCAAGAAAGCAAAAAAGAGACCATGTTTATATGCGGCTTTATTAACTCAATGATTATTTTTCCTTACACTGTTTGCAAACTGATATGTGACACGTATTAATGCCAAAATAACATGCAAAACAGGCAACAACAAAAAATTATAATGTTTTAGCTAAACAGGTGGGGCTCAAAACAGGTGGGGCCCACCACTGTTCATTAGGCAACAAACAGAAGAAAACAGACTGAATCAGGGAGGGACTACATAAAGCTGTTCAATAAGAAGCAATCATTTTCGTTGTCTGTTGCAAAGCGTTTTTCTATGGTGTGCACTTATGAATACGACACAGACGTTATGACTTATGAGATTGAGGTTGTCCAGGGGTCAGTGTTTAAGGTGAGGGTTGATGCAGGCATGCAGCCACACTTTGGAGGTTGCTAGGGCCTTATTTTAAAGGTGATTTGGAACAAAGAGATTTACATGACCTGGTTGCAGTGGTGCAATTCCAGCATATGTGCATTTGTCAATATCAATTCATGGTCAAAGCTCATGCCAGATTTGGCAATTCCGGACAACTGTCACATTTTTGAATATAATTATTTAAAGTTTGAATTTGATTAGGAAAGCAAAAAATATCAGTTATTTTGCTAAATAAACTCCAGGTTGGAATCCTGAGAAATAGATTTTCATGGCCCTCTTTCAGCCATAGAACGTTTCCTCCGAGTTATTCACTCTAAACTATTCCAACTAAAAAACAATGCTTTTACTCTTTCACTTCCTAAAAAAAGCTTGACCTGGTTAGCTGAGAACGGTCAACTCCACGATACTCAATGGAGTTGAGTGGTGATGAGTTTTGG